TAGTTTATTGTGCACCACATATCCATCTTGTGGATGGTAGTGGCTAGTTTATTGTGCACCACATATCCATCTTGTGGATGGTAGTGGCTAGTTTATTGTGCACCACATATCCATCTTGTGGATGGTAGTGGCTAGTTTATTGTGCACCACATATCCATCTTGTGGATGGTAGTGGCTAGTTTATTGTGCACCACATATCCATCTTGTGGATGGTAGTGGCTAGTTTATTGTGCACCACATATCCATCTTGTGGATGGTAGTGGCTAGTTTATTGTGCACCACATATCCATCTTGTGGATGGTAGTGGCTAATTTATTGTGCACCACATATCCATCTTGTGGATGGTAGTGGCTAGTTTATTGTGCACCACATATCCATCTTGTGGATGGTAGTGGCTAGTTTATTGTGCACCACATATCCATCTTGTGGATGGTAGTGGCTAGTTTATTGTGCACCACATATCCATCTTGTGGATGGTAGTGGCTAGTTTATTGTGCACCACATATCCATCTTGTGGATGGTAGTGGCTAGTTTATTGTGCACCACATATCCATCTTGTGGATGGTAGTGGCTAGTTTATTGTGCACCACATATCCATCTTGTGGATGGTAGTGGCTAGTTTATTGTGCACCACATATCCATCTTGTGGATGGTAGTGGCTAGTTTATTGTGCACCACATATCCATCTTGTGGATGGTAGTGGCTAGTTTATTGTGCACCACATATCCATCTTGTGGATGGTAGTGGCTAGTTTATTGTGCACCACATATCCATCTTGTGGATGGTAGTGGCTAGTTTATTGTGCACCACATATCCATCTTGTGGATGGTAGTGGCTAGTTTATTGTGCACCACATATCCATCTTGTGGATGGTAGTGGCTAGTTTATTGTGCACCACATATCCATCTTGTGGATGGTAGTGGCTAATTTATTGTGCACCACATATCCATCTTGTGGATGGTAGTGGCTAGTTTATTGTGCACCACATATCCATCTTGTGGATGGTAGTGGCTAGTTTATTGTGCACCACATATCCATCTTGTGGATGGTAGTGGCTAGTTTATTGTGCACCACATATCCATCTGTGGATGGTAGTGGCTAGTTTATTGTGCACCACATATCCATCTTGTGGATGGTAGTGGCTAGTTTATTGTGCACCACATATCCATCTTGTGGATGGTAGTGGCTAGTTTATTGTGTACTCCATATTCATCCTGTGGATGGTAGCACAAGAGCATATGAATACACAAAAGTCCTAGGAACTAGGACCCATAAGGGTTTACAGGAGTATATCTGGATTTATGTCTACAGTTTCGTAAGTGATTTAGTAATTGTTATCGTTGTACTTGCTGTAGTTGTCCTTGAACTGGTTGTTGTACTTGCTGTATTTGTTGTCCTTGAAGTGGTTGTACTTACTGTAGTTGTTGTCCTTGAACTGGTTGCTGTACTTACTGTAGTTGTTGTCCTTGAACTGGTTGTTGTACTTGCTGTAGTTGTCCTTGAACTGGTTGTTGTACTTACTGTAGTTGTTGTCCTTGAACTGGTTGCTGTACTTACTGTAGTTGTTGTCCTTGAACTGGTTGTTGTACTTGCTGTAGTTGTCCTTGAACTGGTTGTTGTACTTACTGTAGTTGTTGTCCTTGAACTGGTTGTTGTACTTGCTGTAGTTGTCCTTGAACTGGTTGTTGTACTTACTGTAGTTGTTGTCCTTGAACTGGTTGCTGTACTTACTGTAGTTGTTGTCCTTGAACTGGTTGTTGTACTTGCTGTAGTTGTCCTTGAACTGGTTGTTGTACTTACTGTAGTTGTTGTCCTTGAACTGGTTGTTGTACTTGCTGTAGTTGTCCTTGAACTGGTTGTTGTACTTACTGTAGTTGTTGTCCTTGAACTGGTTGTTGTACTTACTGTAGTTGTTGTCCTTGAACTGGTTGTTGTACTTACTGTAGTTGTTGTCCTTGAACTGGTTGTTGTACTTGCTGTAGTTGTCCTTGAACTGGTTGTTGTACTTACTGTAGTTGTTGTCCTTGAACTGGTTGTTGTACTTACTGTAGTTGTTGTCCTTGAACTGGTTGTTGTACTTACTGTAGTTGTTGTCCTTGAACTGGTTGTTGTACTTACTGTAGTTGTTGTCCTTGAACTGGTTGTTGGTTCTTCTTCTTATAATAATAATAATAATAATAATAATAATAATAATAATAATAATAATAATTTATTTACCCTTTCCTGCCTTATTTTCTGAGCATGTAAGATGCGTAAGGCGACCACCAATAGCCTGATTCATCAAAGACGGACCTACGATTATCAGACGGCAGATCAAGCCTCCTCTCTTCCTTGCTCTGAAGGGCCCACGTGAGTTTAGCGCACCGGGAAATACGAAACTGTAAGGAGGTATTGATAGGTGAGGTTAGGGGTGAGTGATGGTAATTGATCGTCAGAGACCCACGTAAGAAAGGGTGTAAAAAATAGGGTAATAGGGTTCGCAGTGCCTTGGGTTAATCTCGAGGTTAATTGGGGAACATGGGTAGGTGAGGGTTGATGTGGGTAGGGAGTTGAAGGTAAGATGTGTGTGTGTGTGTGTGTGTGTGTGCGTGCGTGTGTGTGCGTGTGTGTGCGTGTGTGTGTGTGTGTGTGTGTGTGTGTGTGTGTGTGTGTGTGTGTGCGTGTGTGTGTGTGTGTGTGTGTGTGTGTGTGTGTGTGTGTGTGTGTGTGGGGGTAGTGGTAGTTTAGGGGTAGTGATTTTGTTGTTAGTGTGGGCAGTTACTATTAGTATGGTAGTTATTGTACATATATGAAGGATGTGTCCGGAGGGTCAACGCCCCCGCAGGCCTTCTTGAAGGTCAAAGCCTGATCAACTAGGCTGTTACTGCTGGCATCATGCAGTCCATCGTACGAACCATAGCCAAACTGGTCAGACACTGATTTGAGGAACTTGTCCAGTTCCCTAGTTGAAGACAACCTGAAGTTTGATTATATTTTTTTTATGCACGGAGGGAGGACATTGAAGAGTCGAGGACCTCTGACACTCGGCGAGTTCTCTTTGAGAGTACTCGCCGCTCCCCTGCTTTTTAGTGGAGGTACTCTGCACCGTCTGCTAAGTTTGTGTGGCGTCCCTATCTCGTGGGGCAAAGCCCCTATCCCGCGAGGCAGCTCCTCTAGCTCGTGGGGCATCGCCCTTATACCGCGGGGCAGCGCCCCTATTCCGTTGTACGGTGTAAATCCGTCAGCGTCTCAGTAGCAGCAGCATCCATACTAAAAGAGTCTCGGGGAGTGGCTGCCTCGGAATACCAGGGCAGGGAGGAACCGAGACTGTGACAGCCACCGCCTGCCTGCCTGCCTGCCTGCCTGCCTGCCTGCCTGCCTGCCTGCCTGCCTGCCTGCCTGCCTGCCTGCCTGCCTGCCTGCGGCCGTTGATACCGTCCCACACACACAAGGGCGATTAAATCTTTCTTTTACATGACCTCGATGTGCAGGTTTGGCATCGATCCCTCCAGGACTTTCCAGGTGTAACTTAGGATGTGGTATAAACCTTGGCAATAGATACCGACAAATTGATTTAAAAAAACACGTGAGCAAACACTAGGACATATTTATCAGAAAACGTTTCGGTCCTTTGACCTTGATTACTTCTAACACAGATTAAAAAGACAGTACATGTAGCAGGAGAGTGGGGTGTGTGTGACAGTATATATAGACAGAGTGGAGTGTGTATGACAGTATAGACAGAGTGGGGTGTGTATGACAGTATAGACAGAGTGGGGTGTGTATGACAGTATATATAGACAGAGTGGGGTGTGTATGACAGTATAGACAGTGGGGTGTGTATGACAGTATATATAGACAGAGTGGGGTGTGTATGACAGTATATATAGACAGAGTGGGGTGTGTGTGACAGTATATATAGACAGAGTGGGATGTGTGTGACAGTATATATAGACAGAGTGGGGTGTGTATGACAGTATATATAGACAGAGTGGGATGTGTGTGACAGTATATATATAGACAGAGTGGGGTGTGTGTGACACTGTCACTTTCCAAGAAGTACGCTTCAAGAGATTTCAAGCGTTCCTAATAGTTTAGATGTTTGAATGTACAGGAGCAGTGAAAGTTCTCTCTACTTCTTACAGCTCATCAGTCTCGCCTGTCTTGAAGGAGGTCGTCAGCTTCCAGTAGTATTCCCTGCCTGGAGAGAAGAATCGACTTGAGCGTCATCATTGGCTCAGCATCTCCTGTTCTGAACGTTCTAGTAATCCAACCTGTCGTTTTCCTTACGGTAGTGATGGCAACATTGGAGTGATCATTGAATCTGAGATCTTCAGAAATTCTCTCTCAGGTCTCACACATGGACATCGACAGATGTCACTCTCATGGAGATTCTGGTGTTATCAGGAAAGAATGTTACGGTGCTATGATTTATGTCTTTGTCTATGCCAGATATAAGAATGAGAAACAGAAGTGGAGCGAGTACTGTGCCTTGAAGAGCAGTTTTTCACAGTCAGCCTCCATTTTCACTTTGTATACAACTATTCTCTGGGTTTTACTTGTTTAGAAGTTAAATATCCATCTGCCCACTTTTCCAGTTGTTCCTTTTAAATGCATGTTGTGCATTATCACAGCACAGTGGCTCTAGTAGAACACTTTTGCAAAATCAGTGTACAATACATGAGCGTTTTGCTTGTCCAGTGCTTCCAAGATCATGTTGTAATGCTTTAGTAATTGTGGAAGGCAGGAGAGACCTGCTCTAAACTCACGCTTCCCTGGACTGCAATTTTTGCGATTCCATGTAATTAGCAAACTTGCTAATGTGTGACGTTAGCACAACTGGTCTATAATTTTTCGCAGTTCACTGCTGCCTTTGTGAAGCGGGAAAGTACCATTGAGTTAATGACCATAGAATGACACCTGTGGTCAAGCTCCTCCTCCATAGATTATGAAAGGCCCAAGATCAAGTTTTTTTTTATTTTTATAGGAATATGAAGTTCCACGAGTCTGCCTGAAGCAGAATGTATGGACATGCTGCCTATGGTCTCAGAGTCACCAGGAAAGAGGTTTACTTCAGAAATGCTAGAGATAACAACTGTGTTTCGAATCTCATTAATGGAAAAAAAATGATCAGGATATTCAATCCTTACACTGATGAGTGGGCCACTGAACACAGTCGTACTGTGGCTTCAGTATTTTACTCTTCTTGTAGGCTGGTTGGTGCTGTCCCGGTCCGGGTCTTCTCCAGTTGGTAACCCGGCAGGATTTCACTCGTTTCCTTACTGTCATCAGTGTAAGTTCCATCTGTTTTAAGTAAAGGCTCTATACTAGATGTGGTTTTCGCTCTGGGTTTTAAGCTAGAGAAATATTTGCGCTTCTGATTTCATTTATGGCTTTCTGATGTTCCTGTGTCTCACGGACTCTGTGATTCAGTCAGTTTGTGTTCGACGTTCTTCATTTTCCTAACCAGAGTTGCCTTTCGTGCTTTAGAAAGTCAGAGAAGTTCTGTTGTCCGTCGTCTTCGCCGGTAGGGAAGACGCTCTCTCATTTACATCTCCTTTGCCGTAGATTAAGGTCGGTATACTCCGAACGCCATTAAGCTCATCCTTCCCAAAAACTGGTGTAGATCTATGGGGATCACATCGTCTTCCCAGCCTGTTGTGTAGTGATTCTTGTACTGTTGTTAGTTATTGTTTTTCAAGAGTTACCAACCTGTTTTTCAAGAGTTACCAACCTGTTTTTCAAGAGTTACCAACCTGTTTTTTCAAGAGTTACCAACCTGTTTTTCAAGAGTTACCAACCTGTTTTTCAAGAGTTACCAACCTGTTTTTTCAAGAGTTACCAACCTGTTTTTCAAGAGTTACCAATCTGTTTTTCAAGAGTTACCAACCTGTTTTTCAAGAGTTACCAACCTGCTTTTTCAAGAGTTACCAACCTGTTTTTCAAGAGTTACCAACCTGTTTTTTCAAGAGTTACCAACCTGTTTTTCAAGAGTTACCAACCTATTTTTCAAGAGTTACCAACCTGTTTTTTCAAGAGTTACCAACCTGTTTTTTCAAGAGTTACCAACCTGTTTTTCAAGAGCTACCAACCTGTTTTTCAAGAGTTACCAACCTATTTTTCAATACCCCGAGATTAAATAAGAAAGTTTAAAGACAGTTGAGGATATTTTAGCCAATTCAGACTAGTCTAAATTTCGAGCAATGTAGGTTATACCTTTGATATGCCTTTGATGAGGTTTCGAGAGTTTTTGCATTTCCGAACCCCGGCCCTGGGCCAGGCTTATCTGGTTAACCAGGCTATTGCTGCTGATGTCCCATTGGCCCTTATATCCATCACAGCCTGGTTGATATGGTGAAGATACTTGTCCAGGTTTCTTTTGAAGACTTCACTTGTTCCAGCAGTGTTTCTGATATCTTCTGGTAAGATGTTGAATAATCTGTAGCCACGGATGTTGATACAGTGTTCCCTTATTGTGTCCACTACACCCCTGCTTTTCACTGGGTTTATTTTGCACTTCCTCCCATATCTCTCACTCCATTATGTACAGATTTGGGACGAGGTCCTTAGGTACTTTACGTGTTTATATTATGTATCTCTCTCTACTCTCCACTGAGTACATATTTAGGACCTTAAGGTGTTCCCAGTAATTTAAATGCTTTACTGGCTCTGTGAGTGCCGTAAACGATCTCTGTATTTGTTTCAGCTCTGATCTTTTCCCTGCCCTGAACGGGGTCGTCAACACTAAACAGTATACAAGCTGGTTTATTGGGTTTGATTCATATCGACCACAGCATATATATATATATACCTCTTCTTAAAACTATGTATGGTTCTTGCCTCTGCTACTTCACTTGCTAGGCTATTCCACTTCCTGACGACTCTATGACTAAAGAAATACTTCCTAACGTCCCTGTGACTCGTCTGAGTCTTCAGCTTCCAGTTGTGACCCCTTGTCCCTGTGTCCCCTCTGTCCACCTTGTCTATTCCCCGCAGTATCTTGTATGTCGTTATCATGTCTCCCCTGACCCTTCTGTCCTCCAGTGTCGTCAGTCCGATTTCCCTTAACCTTTCCTCGTACGACATTCCCTTGAGCTCTGGGACTAGCCTTGTTGCAAACCTTTGTACTTTCTCTAATTTCTTGACGTGCTTGACCAGGTGTGGGTTCCAGATTGGTGCTGCATACTCCAGTATGGGCCTAACATACACAGTGTACAGTGTCTTGAACGATTCCTTATTAAGGTATCGGAACGCTATTCTCAGGTTTGCCAGGCGCCCGTATGCTGCAGCGGTTATTTGGTTGATGTGTGCCTCCGGTGATGTGCTCGGTGTTATGGTCACCCCAAGGTCTTTCTCCCTGAGTGAGGTCTGTAGTCTTTGTCCACCTAGCCTATACTCTGTCTGCGGTCTTCTTTGCCCCTCCCCAATCTTCATGACTTTGCATTTGGCTGGATTGAATTCGAGAAGCCAGTTGCTGGACCACATGTCCAGCCTGTCTAGGTCTCTTTGCAGTCCTGCCTCATCCTCGTCCGAGTGTGTGTGTGTGTGTGTGTGTGTGTGTGTGTGTGTGTGTGTGTGTGTGTGTGTGTGTGTGTGTACTCACCTATTTGTACTCACCTATTTATGGTTGCAGGGGTCGATTCACAGCTCCTGGCCCCGTCTCTTCGCTGATTGCTACTAGGTCCTCTCTCTCCCTGCCCCATGAGCTCTATCATACCTCGCCTTAAAACTATGTATGGTTCCCGCCTCCACTACGTCACTTTCTAGGCTATTCTACGGCCTGACTACTCTATGGCTGAAGAAATACTTCCTAACATCCCTTTGATTCATCTGAGTCTTCAACTTCCAATTGTGACCTCTTGTGTCTGTGTCCCTTCTCTGGAACATCCCGTCTTTGTCCACCTTGTCTATTCCGTGCAGTATTTTATATGTCGTTATCATGTCTCCCCTGACCCTCCTGTCCTCCAGTGTCGTAAGGTCGATTTCCTTCAACTTTTCTTCGTAGGACAATCCCTGTAGCTCTGGGACTAGTCTTGTTGCAAACCTTTGCACTTTCTCTAATTTCTTGACGTGCTTGACTAGGTGTGGGTTCCAAACTGGTGCTGCATACTCCAGTATGGGCCTGACGTAAATGGTATACAGAGTCTTAAACGAATCCTTACTGAGGTATCGGAACGCTATCCGTAGGTTTGCCAGGCGCCCGTATGCTGCAGCAGTTATCTGATTGATGTGCGCCTCAGGAGATATGCTCGGTGTTATACTCGCCCCCAGATCTTTTTCCTTGAGTGAGGTTTACAGTCTTTGGTCATCTAAACTATATTGTGTCTGCGGTCTTCTTTGCCCTTCCCCAATCTTCATGACTTTGCATTTGGCAGGGTTAAATTCAAGGAGCCAGTTGCTGGACCAGGCTTGTAGCCTGTCCAGGTCTCTTTGTAGTCCTGCCTGATCCTCGTCCGATTTGATTCTTCTCATTAACTTCGCATCATCTGCAAACAAGGACACTTCTGAGTCTATCCCTTCCATTATGTCGTTCACACACACACACACACACAATATATATATATATATATATATATATATATATATATATATATATATGTGTGTGTGTGTGTGTGTGTGTGTGTGTGTGTGTGGTATGGGCTTAGACGTGAACAAGGGATGATTCAGTTTGGTTAGTAGGGGTTAGGATGTTAGTGTGATGACAGCCGGAATGAAAGTGCCATCCAGTTTGGGTGTGGGGATTATTGGTTTATACTTTTGCATACGTGTCCCACGGGATGATGACTGCATTACTCTCTATGTATATATGACCTTGAACTTGCTTGGTCACTTAACATCATACGTATATTAGAGGTAATATACGCATGTATGCTGTAAGGATGCTTGGGTGAGGATCGTAGTGATTGTGAAACTGTCGCCCTGTGACAGGTTATATGCTTATGTACGGCTTGAAGACTGTGTGACAGGGTTATGTGTAATGATGAGAGAAAGTGGGCGGTTGCCCATATGGGGGGGGGGGGGGGGGGTAAGGAGTGTTGGAGAGACTGAATTTGCAACTTGATAGTGTCTCTTGTATGCACCTTTGCTTTGCACGTTGACTTTTGTGCAGGTTGTGATAGAGTAGTTTTTATTTATGTGTTCGCATTAGGCTATGGAAGCCTGTGATGTGAACTTGATTTGTTGACAGTCTTTACTATGCATGATGATATGTCTATGTATGTGTACAACAATATGATAATTTAGTAATTGTGGCCAGTGTATTTCGCGGAGGTGTGTGTACCTCCGGCGGATGCACATAGTTTTGTTAGACTTACTCCCAAGAAAGTTTTTTTTATTAGGAATGTGCGTTTCTTTCAATAATAAGTGTGTGTGCTGTTTCTTGTACTTACACCTACATGAGATAATTTCATGTGATAATTTCATGTGCTTTTCTTATACTGATAGGAGGCTTGAGTGATGTATAGTGTGATTGATGGTCTGTCTTTGTTTTTGTCTGTGACGGGTTGCTTCTCCTGTGTCCAACAACGTGTGCGTGTGTGATACTTTATGTATATACTTATTCTTCTCCACAGTGTTATACTATATATATGTATTTTGTCTGTACAAGATGTGCTCTTAATAAAATATAAAAAAAAAACTAGTGGTAAACAGGCTACATGCAATCTTAATGGCCGTGGTGCAGTTGTTCGGCCTTAGCAAGTGTGTGTGTGTACTGTTGCTGGAGGAGGGAGGCAGGCAGTGTAGTGAGCGAGTGTCGTGGTGAGCGAGTGTCGTCGAGTCGTGGTGAGTAGGTCTCCAATATTTTATTGTGATGAAGTGATGGGCTTTTAGTGGTGATACAGTATATAGTGTTTGGAATTGACGGGGGAGGAACTGAAGCTGGTGTGGACACGACCGGTGGGTGTTAAGTGTCTGCTGTCTGACACTTCCTGACACGTATGATCACTTGACATATATCATCGTCTGAAAGACCCGTGTCAGGAGAGACATCTTTCCTGACGAATAAAACACTACTCGAGAACTGCTGAACCTTACAATATAATGGTAATGTCCTAACTTTTTTCTTTTTCTTTTTAATATAGTTTTAGGCCTTCTATGTCTTAATAGATTTTTATTGTGGTTGTGTTGGATCAACCAGGCTGTGATGGTTTCGTGGCCAGATGGCCACCAGCAGCAAGAACCTGGTTGACCAGGCAAGTACCAGATGAGCCTGGCCCATGGTCGGGTTGCCAGATTAGAAAAACTCTAGAAAGTCTTCAAAAGTATATTGGAAGCCTTTAGAACATAACACAAAATAGAAGGAACACTGCAACAGGCCTACTGGCCCATGCGAAGCAGGTCCAAGTCTCCTCAGGGTTTAAATCAATGACCAACCTAGATAGGTCAGGTCACATTTACTTAAGGAAGGAACACATCTGAGCCAGCAGCACAAGCTAGCCAGTTCCAGTTCACACCCACCCACACCCACTCGAGTATTTATCTAACCTATTTTTAAAACTACACAACGTTTTAGCCTCTATAACTGTACTCGGGAGTTTGTTCCACTCATCCACAACTCTATTACCAAACCAGTGCTTTCCTATATCCTTCCTGAATCTGATTTTTTCCAACTTTAAACCATTGCTACGAGTCCTGTCTTGGCTAGATATTTTTAGCACGCTATTTACATCCCCTTTATTTATTCCTGTTTTCCATTTATACACCTCAGTCATATCCCCTCTAATTCTACGCCTTTCTAGAGAGCGCAGATTCAGGGCCTCAGTGTATACTCATAGGGAAGATTTCTGATACATGGGATCAATTTTGTCATCCTCCTTTGTACGTTTTCGAGTAGTATAAACCTTAGTAATAAATACCGAGAAGTTGGTTTTGCTTACGTGTCTTTCTAAACCAACGTTTTCCAGAGCATTTATATCCATTCTGTAATACGGTGACCAAAACTGAGCAGCTTAGTCTAAATGAGACCTAACCAAGGATACATAGTTGAACATCCCGAGGACTCCTATTATTTATGCTCTTTGATATGAAGCCAAGGTATATCAGAAGCCTTCAAAGGTACATTGGAAGCCTTCAGAGAGGTATTTTTGGTGTCAGTACATGGTCCTTCTCCCACAGTTGTAAACCTTGTACATAACAATGCTGGTGTTCACTGCTGGGTAGTGTTGGTAGTGGTTCAGGTAGTGTGGTGGGGTAGTGGGGTGTCTGAGGTAGTGTGGTGGGGTGGGGGGGTGTCTGAGGTAGTGTGTTGGGGTAGGGGGTGTCTGAGGTAGTGTGGTGGGGTAGGGGGTGTCTGAGGTAGTGTGGTGGGGTAGGGGGTGTCTGAGGTAGTGTGGTGGGGTAGGGGGGTGTCTGAGGTAGTGTGGTGGGGTAGGGGGTGTCTGAGGTAGTCTGGTGGGGTAGGGGGGTGTCTGAGGTAGTCTGGTGGGGTAGGGGGGTGTCTGAGGTAGTCTGGTGGGGTAGGGGGGTGTCTGAGGTAGTCTGGTGGGGTAGGGGGGTGTCTGAGGTAGTCTGGTGGGGTAGGGGGTGTCTGAGGTAGTCTGGTGGGGTAGGGGGTGTCTGAGGTAGTCTGGTGGGGTAGGGGGGTGTCTGAGGTAGTCTGGGTGGGGTAAGGGGGTGTCTGAGGTAGTCTGGTGGGGTAAGGGGGTGTCTGAGGTAGTCTGGTGGGGTAAGGGGGTGTCTGAGGTAGTCTGGTGGGGTATGGGGGTGTCTGAGGTAGTCTGGTGGGGTATGGGGTGTCTGAGGTAGTGTGGTGGGGTAGGGGGGTGTCTGAGGTAGTGTGGTGGGGTAGGGGGTGTCTGAGGTAGTGTGGTGGGGTAGGGGGGTGTCTGAGGTAGTGTGGTGGGGTAGGGGGTGTGTCTGAGGTAGTGTGGTGGGGTAGGGGGGTGTCTGAGGTTAGTGTGGTGGGGTAGGGGGGTGCCTGAGGTAGTGTGGTGGGGTAGGGGGTGCCTCAGGTAGTGTGGTGGGGTAGGGGGGTGTCTGAGATAGTCTGGTGGGGTAGGGGGGTGTCTGAGGTAGTGTGGTGGGGTAGGGGGGTGTCTGAGGTATTGTGGTGGGGTAGGGGGGTGCCTGAGGTAGTGTGGTGGGGTAGGGGGGTGCCTGAGGTAGTGTGGTGGGGTAGGGGGTGCCTGAGGTAGTCTGGTGAGGGTAGGGGGTGTCTGAGTAGTCTGGTGGGGTAGGGGGGTATCTGAGGTAGTGTGGTGGGGTAGGGGGGTGTCTGAGGTAGTCTGGTGGGGTAGGGGGGTGTCTGAGGTAGTCTGGTGGGGTAGGGGGGTGTCTGAGGTAGTCTGGTGGGGTAGGGGGGTGTCTGAGGTAGTCTGGTGGGGTAGGGGGTTTGTCTGGTGGGTAGGGGGTGTGTGAGGTAGTCTGGTGGGGTAGGGGGGTGTCTGAGGTAGTCTGGTGGGGTAGGGGGGTGTCTGAGGTAGTCTGGTGGGGTAGGGAGGTATCTGAGGTAGTCTGGTGGGTAGGGGGGTGTCTGAGGTAGTCTGGTGGGGTAGGGGGGTGTCTGAGGTAGTCTGGTGGGGTAGGGGGTGTCTGAAGGTAGTGTGGTGGGGTAGGGGGGTGTCTGAGGTAGTCTGGTGGGGTAGGGGGTGTCTGAGGTAGTCTGGTGGGGTAGGGAGGTATCTGAGGTAGTCTGGTGGGGTAGGGGGGTATCTGAGGTAGTCTGGTGGGGTAGAGGGGTGTCTGAGGTAGTCTGGTGGGGTAGGGAGGTATCTGAGGTAGTCTGGTGGGGTAGGGGGTGTCTGAGGTAGTCTGGTGGGGTAGGGGGTGTCTGAGGTAGTCTGGTGGGGTAGGGGGGTGTCTGAGGTAGTCTGGTGGGGTAGGGGGGTGTCTGAGGTAGTCTGGTGGGGTAGGGGGGTGTCTGATTTAGTCTGGTGGGGTAGGGGGGTGTCTGAGGTAGTCTGGGGGGGGTAGGCGGTGTCTGAGGTAGTCTGGTGGGGTAGGGGGTGTCTGAGGTAGTCTGGTGGGGAAGGGGGGGGTGTCTGAGGTAGTCTGGTGGGGTAGGGGGGTATCTGAGGTAGTCTGGTGGGGTAGGGGGGTATCTGAGGTAGTCTGGTGGGGTAGGGGGTGTCTGAGGTAGTCTGGTGGGGTAGGGGGGTATCTGAGGTAGTCTGGTGGGGTAGGGGGGGTGTCTGAGGTAGTCTGGTGGGGTAGGGGGTTGTCTGGGGTTTAGTCTGGTGGGGTAGGGGGGTGTCTGAGGTAGTCTGGTGGGGTGGGGGGGTTTGTTCTGAGGTAGTCTGGTGGGGGGTAGGGGGGTGTCTGAGGTAGTCTGGTGGGGGTAGGGGGGTGTCTGAGGTAGTCTGGTGGGGTAGGGGGGTGTCTGAGGTAGTCTGGTGGGGTTGGGGGGTGTCTGAGGTAGTCTGGTGGGGTAGGGGGGTGTCTGAGGTAGTCTGGTGGGGTAGAGGGGTGTCTGGGGTAGTCTGGTGGGGTAGGGGGGTGTCTGAGGTAGTCTGGTGGGGTAGGGGGTTGTCTGAGGTAGTCTGGTGGGGTATGGGGGTGTCTGAGGTAGTCTGGTGGGGTAGGGGGGTGTCTGAGGTAGTCTGGTGGGGTAGGGGGGTGTCTGAGGTAGTCTGGTGGGGTAGAGGGGTGTCTGAGGTAGTCTGGTGGGGGTATGGGGGTGTCTGAGGTAGTCTGGTGGGGTAGGGGGTGTCTGAGGTAGTCTGGTGGGGTAGGGGGGTGTCTGAGGTAGTCTGGTGGGGTATGGGGGTGTCTGAGGTAATCTGGTGGGGGATGGGGGTGTCTGAGGTAGTCTGGTGGGGTATGGGGGTGTCTGAGGTAGTCTGGTGGGGTATGGGGGTGTCTGAGGTAATCTGGTGGGGGATGGGGGTGTCTGAGGTAGTCTGGGGGGTATGGGGGTGTCTGAGGTAGTCTGGTGGGGTATGGGGGTGTCTGAGGTAATCGGGTGGGGGATGGGGGTGTCTGAGGTAGTCTGGTGGGGTATGGGGGTGTCTGAGGTAGTCTGGTGGGGTATGGGGGTGTCTGAGGTAATCTGGTGGGGTATGGGGGTGTCTGAGATATTGCTGTACCCCGTCCATACATGTCACCACTGTATACTTTGTGTACAAGTATTCATTATCTATACTTATCTGCGTGTTTTTCCCTTATCTTTACACCTTTTCTAGTCCCCTTATTTGTAAACCATGTGTGCCCCTGAACTGTGCCCCTGAACTGTGCCCCTGAACTGTGCCCCTGTTCTTTGACACTACACTTGAAGGGACTTTCGTACCTTGTTGTTTACTGGCTGGGTCGTCATCCTGCATAACTTCTTGAGACGTCAGTCTCCCCTCACCTCCTCCACCTCCCCTCACCTCCTCCACCTCCCCTCACCTCCTCCACCTCCCTTCACCTCCTCCACCTCCTCCTCTTTCCCTTACCTCCCCTCACCTCCTCCACTTTCCTTTACCCCCCTCACCTCCTCCACTTTCCTTTACCCCCCTCACCTCCTCCACTTTCCTTTACCCCCCTCACCTCCTCCACTTTCCTTTACCCCCTCACCTCCTCCACTTTCCTTTACCCCCCTTCACCTCCTCCACTTTCCTTTACCCCCCTCACCTCCTCCACTTTCCTTTACCTTCCCTCACCTCCTCCACCTCCCTCACCTCATCCACCTGCTCCACTTTCCCTTAACTCCCCTCACCTCCTCCACTTTCCTTTACCTCTCCTCACCTACTCCACTTTCCTTTACCTCCCCTCACCTCCTCCACTTTCCTTTACCTCCCCTCACCTCCTCCACTTTCCTTTACTCCCCTCACCTCCTCCACTTTCCTTTACCCTCCCTCACCTAC